TTTTTTTTTTTTTTTTTTTTTTTTTTTTTTTAACTCTCCCGTCTTGGCAAGCCGCCCTTGATGACAGAGCCATACAGGCAGGCCTAGTAAATTATCCCACCAAGCATGAAGTCACATATTTTTATATGATTAACAACTAGCACAGCGGGATTCCGAATGAAGCGTTTTATTGGAGGTAGTGCCTCTCGTGTGCGCTGCTGCTCCATGTCCCCCTCGTCCCTCCCTTGGTGTCCCCCAGGGATGCCTCGTTTGCCACACTGTCACCAACACCCCCGCTGCTTCTGCTCACCTCTCACAGGTCATGAGGGCTCATAGTCGTCAGATGTGGCCTTGACTTGTTCTTCCTGGTGTTTAAAACCTCCTTCATCCTCCACTCCAAAGTTGCTGCTCCAAAGTCCTGGTGCTTCATGCTGGTACTAGCTGTAGGTCACATCCTTGCAATCCATCGTGTGTTGGGAGTGTCCCTTGGTGTCACATTTTCCTTTTTCTGGACACAGGCTACATGAATAATGTCTTACAGGTATCAAGAGCTGCTGGTTATGGCTGTTTCCTTCATTATCTCCCTTTTAAGAGCCATGTGAAGCAAACCCAGGTTGTTCCCAAGTGTGTTGAGAACTGAGCTCTAGGGAGTAAGGCTGTGTTGGTAACCACCCATCTTGGTAACTACCTTTGCGTCTTTATCAGTAGTTAATTCATTGTGGCATGAAGAAACTATGCTTATATTTATCTAGCAGTTTTAGATAGGGGTTTCAAGTTCAGATCTGCCTTAACCTTGCCTTAATGAGAGGTATACTCAACTCTTGGTTTTAATTACTGCTGAGGAAGGAGCATGGGAGGAGTGTTGATTCACTGGCTGATGGAAATTTTAGTTTAGGATTTCAAAGTCAGTTTGAGCTGTAAGAAAATACTTAGCGCTTCCTTTTAACTTGCCATAAGGAGGCAGTTTGAGGTGGTTCTATGGTTGATCTCTAAAGATTTTTTACAAAGTTATTGTCAAACAGTTAAGTTTTAAAAACAAGACTTTGCAGATGAGAGTTTGTTTCTATCATATTGTTAATATTAGTGAAAGGATGTTTCTGCTTGTAGTTAAGATGTGATTGTTTGTAACCGTTCCAAACTGTTCAACATAGAAACAAATACAAGAACAGAAAGTTAACCTGTTTTCGTCATTCAGGCTGTGATCTTTTTAAAATTACTTAAATATGATCTTAATTATTTAAATATGGTGCCTTTTATAAGAGGCAGTAACGCAACATTTTGGGCCAAATGTTTTTACTTGGTTATATCCTTATGGCTATGATTAAGTGCCTCCAATTTGTCACAGAGGGAAACAGTGGTGGCTTTTGTTTTTTTCTGTTTTTCTTAATTGCAATAACTCTGTTTAATGGTGTTCAAAGCGAGATAATGACTCTGAAGTCTTGCTATCTGGGTTAGTAAACAATTGCACCATTTTAATACCCCTGCTCTGTGTGGCTACTTCTTCACACATGCACGTAATAAGTAAGGAACCTAAAAAGACAACAGAAAGCCTAGTAAGAAAACAGCTCTCCAGCCCAAAACAAGCAGAAACTACCATCTGATGCTTATGAAGGGAAAAAAGGAGGGGATGAATGTTTTGGAATTGTACTAAGCAAAAAGAAAAGAAGAGCTAATAGAGCTAACTGGATTTAAAGGTGGGCAAAACGAGGTGAACGAGGATTTTCTGTGGTGTTTTGACTGTAGTGTTGTGCAATGATGTATAAATGTTGTAAGTCTATTAAGGGCTGACGACCTTTGTATAACTAGCACAGAATGATGTGACACTTTTTTTACATAAGAGGTGAGACACTGAAAAAAAGGAGAAAGGAATAGAAGAGTCCATTACCCAAAACAGGTCAGCTAATGGAAGGCAGCTTTCTAGCCAAGAAAATAGGATCATAGAACTAATTCTAGAGGAAAATCTCACCAGTGTTGATGAACCTGTCATTAGTTCAATGTTATAAGAGTTTTACCTTGTAGGGCATAGTCTATTAACTGTTGTTCTTAGCCAAACTCCTTTAGAGAGAGCACTTGTATAAATTATTTTTTTTTAATATAAATTATTGAGAGATGAAGGAAGTTGTTTTGACCTAATGTATCTCCTGATGTATCCTGTAGTTGTTACAGTCATTGGCTGCTAACATCAAAGTGGAAAAGTGTAGATCATAGGATACCATTTTTTCAAGCAAGAACTTAGTATAGTTTGCTCACCTATTTTAGTCCTGAGTCATTTTGTTGAAGTAATTATTATTATTAATAATAATAATCACTGGTTAACTTTGCACCAGTATGTTGTATTTTATACTAGTTAGCTTTCTCAGATGAAAAGTTTAACAGGTGAAGTAAAACGTTTTCGACGATAACTTTGAAAATTACAGGGAAAGAGGTATGAGCACTTTAACAGGCAAAATCTTTATAATTCTACTGTAACCTGGAAGTTAATATTCTAGTGAACTGAGTGTCTTTAAAATACTACCATTGACATTTCTTATTATAGAGTTTCGTATAGAAGGGGAACATGCTATGGGTACCCTGCTAATGCTCAGTACTGTTTTTGGTGGTTTCTGCTTACCTCTCTCTTTTCCTTCATTCTGAAATGTGAAGTACAGAACTCAGGGCGGGCAATTGCATCAACTTAACCACATGGTTGTCCCAAAAGATTTTATACTGGCTTTCCTTTGCTCCCCAAAGAGGAAACCAGCTTTAGGAAACAATGAATATATGAGTGGAAAGTAACTTGCTTTCAGATAGAATTGTTTTTCCGCATACCAAATCAACCTGAATGCAGTAAACTACTGGGGGACTGGAGGGAGACTAAAATCTCCCTTAATAAGGGTATATTCCCAAGGGTCACTAGACAGCTGTTCCGCTTTTATGGTGTAAATATGAGTCCGCATCAATAATAAAGATTGGAGGAAAATGAAAAAATATCACATTACATAGCTGGAAATCCCAGGGGAAACATTAAACAATGACTTCACCACACTTCTGGAAGCATCTTCTATAAAGAACACACAAGAACAAGAATAACTCCCATTAAATTCTGCTCAGTTCAAATAATATGATATCAGTTATAAAGCCCCAAAACGCACAGAATGACAGATCTTTCTTTTCTCCATGTGGTTTGAATTTACATAAAAGAAATTAGAATTAGATTTATGTGCTGCTTAGGTCCGATTTTAAATTCAGAAATGCTAGCAAATTCAGAGTTAAGTTTTTGTGCTTAGTGCTGAATATGATTATGTTTAGGAGTCTCCAAAGCAGACAAGGTAAAGTTCTACAGCACAGTGGTAAAAGTTTAGGGTTGAGTGAATTAAAGTGTGTGTTTTGCAGCTTTTATGAGTTTGAGCTGTAACACGGCAGTGTTTATGTTCAGAAACAGTTAAGCTGTGGACATTGCCTGTACAGTGGGAGCAGGGGCCGGGATGGTTTCTGAGTTATCCCATCTTCTGTATTATCCCGCCGTAACAATAGGCTCTCCTATTTAGCTATCAGAGGAAATTCACAATGACCCAGCCACATTGCCCTGCTGTGTCTTATGGAGTAGAGAGTTAGCGAAGTAACATAAAGGATCAAGACAACAGGTTCTGCGTTTTTGAAATGCAGACGTTTGAAAACATTCTTAGAGCCTCCCAGAGG